CAGTTGTTACTTTTCAACCGTTTTTAGTTTCTTCTTATTGTATTGGGGATTCATGTGTATCACTACAAATCTGCAAGTATAACCCATTTGGATCAATTCGGCCTTCAAATTTATCTGTCTCATTCCATCGAGCCTTTCCAACAGAATTCGAATCCGTCTTTTACACATAGCCGAAGCTATGTGAATTAATTTGAGAGAACAATCCTAGTCTTTGCATACAAAAAGAAGTTTGTTCCATATTTATCTCTCCCTCGCTTAGCCTAGGTGAATTCTATTCAAATCCCTCCCACCCTCTCTTATCATCCATCGACTTCGTATTTCATGATATTTATTTAAACTCTGATTATCTGTCGACTTCACCTTCAGATTTACGTAACTTTTAAGATTTGACCTAATTTGTTTTGCTTGTTGAATTGGCTATATATACACAGTTATACATAAACTACCTTTGCTAATCTTATCGCCACCTGCATCAATCTTATTATCAATATTTTGTTATCATTATAATCATCGTCATTAACTACGTTCAAAACATTTATCACATTATTATTATTTGATCCACAAAATCACCGTCATTGGTTAAAAATTAATTTTCAAATATAAATCTATGTAAATTAGAGTAAAGCCTGATGAAGATCTAATTGAAAAGAATATTGTTTGCGTATATGTCTTGTTCTGTGCGTCGGTGTCACAGCGGTAAGGACGCTCGCCGACCATGCCACACGTGGTCAGGGGTTCGATTCCCGGCCACCGACGCACTCCTTTACCTCGCTAAGCCACAAATAATGCTGGTAAAGAGGAAAGGTTGGGCTTGAGGCTAGCTAGCATACCCATCCTGTAAAATTAAACACCACTGCTACAGAAACTTCAGGCCACTAGCTTGAGGCCCTGTGTTCCGCTGGCGACGTGAAGGGAAACAATTCCAAAGAAACGTCTTGTTCTAATATTAAAAATGGGAATATTTAAAGATATGAGTTCCTTCGAGGTTTCAGTTACGCCTCGCTGGTCGATGAAGGTCAACTAGGACGAAACCTGGGTGAAGGAAGCCTTCCTGTGCCTGATTGCCTCCAGCTGTCTAATGTCTGCATATTTTTTATAATGAATCTTTTAAGGGTACACAATTAACTGATATGGTGTTTTAATTTGGGATTATTCTTCCAGCGTATATTTATGAAGAATAGACAACAGGTGTGTTGTATGAATTCGTGTCTCACTCGATTGTTGAATGGAAGTATTTTATGCATTCAGCTGGCATTCGTCCTGAATCCTTCATATGTATATATATCCCGTAGCTCTAAAGGCACTCAATGAGTACCTGAAGTATAGTTCTAGGCTCACAGAAGCAAAACGCATGTGGAATTTATTCGAAATTGTATTGTGAACAACCGGTATCCTAAATTATATTCAAAATCCCTTCGTCGAAACAAAACACGACAGAATCAAAAGTCATTAAAGCGATTCGCCGTTAATCATATCGAATCACTTCAAGTTTATATATCTGAACTAGAGAGAAGTATTTCTCAAAGACTTTACGCCGTCGATGAACTTCCTCGGAAGCTGAAAGATTTATTCATTTATTAACTACGTTAATGAAGTTCTTAAAACTGGAGAAAGCAAAAAATTGATATTATTAACCAAAGGACTAGATACAGAAACGACTGAAACTAATTTTCCAATCGATTATAACCGGTATGTTTTCGATTTCTCCTCTGTATGCTTAGATAAGACACAACTTGAATGAAGCCTTATCTCTCGGTTTAAAATTCTGTTACAGACGTAATCAGGTTGATGATTTAGAGACTGATGTTCAATTTGAAAAGCTATTTGCCCAGACAAGCGACCTAACTCCTACGTCCAAGTATGAGCTAGAAAGATTTAAAAGTACCCTAATCGATTCCTGCTACCAGTTTAAGAAGAGCAGACATCCCGCCAACAGTCTACTCACAAAGAAACACCGAGAGGCATTAGTTTTTCCTTCACGTTCCCCAGTGGAACATAGGGCTTCAAGTTAGTGGCTTGAAGTTTCTGTAGCAATGTTTTATTTTTACAGGATGGGGTTGCTAGCCTCATGCCCAACCTTTCCTCTTTACCAGCATTAGTTCTGGCTCAGCGAGGTAAAGGAGTGCGTCGGTAGGGGATCGAACCCCGGACCATGTGCATGGTTGGCGAGCGTCCTAACCGCTATACCACCGAGAGGCATTACATGACCTTAAAAAAAGACACAAAATCTGATAATAACTAGACCTGATAAAGGATCTGGAACAGTTATCATGAACAAGAGTGATTATTTAGACAAAATGAATATCATTCTAAACGACTATACGAAATTTCAAAAGCTGAGCAGTTGTAAAGACACAACGGAGGCAACCGAACGCCAAATGGCTAAGACACTAAAATCACTAGTTGAGAGTAATCTGATTCCGAAAGATACACTCGACGAATTGAAACCCTCAGGTACGCACACACCAAGACTTTATGGTTTACCGAAAGTCTATAAACCGGATGTACCACTACGTCCCATCTTAGATATGTATGTGCCAATCCGCTTATCATTCATTTTACAGCTAAGTGGTTGGTAAAGGCACTAGAACCGCTACATCGTGAAGTAGTGAAATTCAGTGTAAAAGACGTATTCAGCTTTGTGAAAATTACCAAAACCCTGAATGTAAAGGGAAAGAAAATAATGTCACACTGGATGTAGCATCATTCATTATTCACCAACGTCCCACTGCTTGAAACAGTCAACTACATATGTGACCAGCTGGTAGAAAGGAAAATAGATGTAGTAATCCCAGCCGAACAAGTCAAAGAATTATTATTATTGAAATGCACTATGAATGTTCAGTTTATGTTCAATAATGGATTTTATAGACAAGTTGATGGTGTAGCCATGGGATCGATCACCTTTGGGCCGTTTGCTAGCGGATATTTTCCTGCGAAAGCTTGAAAATGGTCCACTCAAAGACACGATTGAAGGGCTTGACTATTACTGTCGATTCGTGGATGACACCTTTATCGTTTGTAGTAGAAATCTTAATAAACAAGGGCTTCTGAATGACGTTAATAATGTTTTGCTCGTAATATTACCAAAAATACATAAACAAAATCTCATCATTGCGTGCCAACTTTTGAAATATACATAACCATAACAACATCATAACAACAGTCAGTTGAATAGAATTCAACGTACAGAGAATGTGTTATGTACTTGGAATATTGATTTACAAGTGACTACAATTCAGTCATGATAACAACATTGACTCCCTGATTGACTAACTCATTCACTCACACACGCACTCACACACAAACAAATAAAAATTAACAACAACGACAACAACAACAAGCAAAGCAACAATCCTCACGTATTATGTAATCGATGTGTCTGACACGATCTTCTGTTGATTGTTTCATTTTCATCATTTGGGTCATTGAACTCAGTTGATCAGTCACTTAGTCAATCAATCAGTCAGTCAGTCAGTCAGAGTCATGCAATGAATGTGTGTGATGACGGAGAGTTAATTATTGATCAATGAGAGAATGAAGAGGTTGACAAACACATTTTGTATTGACAATGTTTGCAATGAATCTCTGTTTCTCTCACATGTTCCATATGTGTCATGCATTGAAAAGACACAAGGAATATGTGAATTGTTCAATGCAAATGATTTCCGATTGGAATTCGATGTCATTCTTAGTGTTGGTGTTAATTCCTCACCATCTATGTATGACAAATGCATTGATGTACATCGATCAATTCGATCAGATGGGAGCATGAGCATGACCAAGATTTTGTTGACATAGCCACAATCTGACAGACATTATTATTCACTCTAAGTCGATATGATGGTGTATTCGATGTGATCGGTGGATGACAGACAACTGATGAAGATGATGTGTCTGTCTGTTTAATGACTTGGGTTGAAAATCCACTTCTTCTTCTTCGTCTTCTTCTTCGTAGATCACGAACGAATATTACCGAGGTGTTCGTTGATGAGAGTCTCATATGAACAGATAAAGCTAGCTAGGACGATGAAACAGACATCTAACCAGATTATCTTTGTATTGTAGAGGTAGGTAAATGGCTCAGGAAGTGAGCACATATTGTCCAGTGGAAGTAGGCTTTCTGTGTAAACGTCTACACACTGTTCCGTCTGTTCGTTTAGTTATTAGGACGTTCAAAAAGTGGATGGAATCACTTTCTCCTTGTTCTTTAGTGGAGCTGATGCTGTGATGTGCTCTACTGAATTTATCCAATATGTCCTTGGTATTACTTTATTTCTTGACAACTTCACATGTATCATCGACATATGAGCATTAGAAATCAATATCATATATCACTTCATCCCAATTCATACGCTCTTGACACTCTAATAAACTTCACCAATGGAAATAATCTTATGAAGCGTTAATCATACTCATCAATCATAAAATGTCTCCGATGACTTCACAGCCTAATCGACAACATAGCTATCGACTTTCGAAATTCTGTGTGAAGGATGCAACTCCGATAATAAATCGCAGCGTTTGAGTGTGAGTGAATTACTAATCATCTCAACAAACACACACACACGCAGACAGACACCTAGCTCGAAATCACACGTCATCAGATCACGTTCATCACATGCATTGCGCTCGACTAGTGTTAAATGAAGCATAAAATATCGCCTGAAATTACAACGATCATCTTCACGCTTAGATTCTCGGAAACTAATACAAACTGACCAATCACTGTTCGTCGTCGTTATCATGAAATCACCTACACAATCGAATTATCATCGTCTACCCACATAACACAGACACAGGCACGCACGCACGAATAACAAAGACGGAAATGTGGATGACATTCCCTCAATGGAAGTCAGTAAAACACTGTCACAAATTTTAGAATTATATATTTATTCGGAGAGATAATATGCGTCACAGATGGACAATCATGATGATCAGGATTTGGCTATGGTAGATTCACTGTTTGGAAGAATCGTTTCATCGTTTCATTCTATTTACAATAAGAAGATATTATTCTCCTCACATTCACGACGGACATGTTCTGGCCATATACTAACCTGTACCTCACCAATATGCTTCTTCTCAAGGAAGAACATACACAGTCGACTCTGTCCAATACCACCACCTATGGTCAGTGGATATTCACCAGACAACACCTTCTGATGGTATTCGAATTGACGCCGGGATTCACAACCACTCTGTCGTAACTGACTATCCATCGACACTTCATCCACTCGGATCCCCATCGATGACAGTTCAATACATCTGTCATCATGTTCACTGTACACCAGAATATCTCCATTCAACTCCCAGTCATCATAATCTGGAGCTCGTTTGTCGTGCACTTGCTTCGACTTCAACACCTTGCCGATTTGCTTCAAGAAGACAGCACCATACTGTTTGACTGCAAGATACTCGCGTTCAGCGGGTGTCTTCTCAGGATATAGATCCTCCAGCTCCTGTGTCTTCAGAAATGTTATCTTATCCGGTAACTTCTTAGTCAACACTGGATATGCGCTCACCAACATCTTCTCCGTCTGCTTCATTGCATCATATATCTTTTCAACGACTTCCTCCAATGTCTTCTCATTCCTCTGATCCCTCTGGATAACCAGCTCCCAATCCCATTGATCCACATAGTAGGAGTGCAATGAAGAGACGTCTTCATCACGTCTTATCGCATTCATGTCTGTGTAAATGCCTTGGTAGTGCTTCAATGGGTATTTGTGCAGTGCCATGCGTTTCCATTTAGCCAACGACTGATTAATGTATGCACGTTCACCGGATCGAACATCGAAACAGATGGCACGTTCCACACCAGACAAATCATCCTGCAAACCACTGTTCACAGGTACGAATAATGGAGCAGAAACTCGCAGTAATTCAAGTTGGCTGACAGGTGTTTCTGGAAACAGTGTCTCATGTATTTGATAGCTTCCTGTGTCTTCTCAACATCAAGCTTTGACTGGTATCTTGACATTGTGATGGTGACTTGTGGCGATGACTGGATGACTGGAAGGTGGTCGACTGAAAAGCAGAGAGGGAGAAAGAGAGAGAGAGAAATCACTGTGATTAGATTGTTAGAGAAAGAACAAACAAGGGAACAGTTCAGTGAGAACTGATAAGAGTTCTGGTGGGATGACGCTTCATGTAATGCTTCCTGACAGAGAATGCATGGCGAAATACGGTGTCAGTTTCTAATAATAATAATAATAATAATCTACTTTATTCCAAAAACAGTACTACTTATAATACAGAACAACAACTTTCATCTGATTTACTCAAAACACCATAAATAAATGTAACCAGAGGAAGTTTTCCGCATTTACGATATAAAGTCAAAAATATTCCAAGTACGAAATGAGAACAATAATAATAATAATTATTATCATAAAATAATAAAAATAACAGTGAATTTGTTTCAAACAGTAGTGTCGATTCAGTTTGACAATATTACGATGTTAATATTGAATATTGAATCTAATTGTCTGTTGATACAGAGCACGGTGTGGGCAGGAAGACAAAGAATAACAGGTATTACACAGCTTGAATGATGCTCACACTTAGACGAAAATAAGCAAATCAAAGCAAACAATTGAGAGGATTATAAATATCAGTATTACAAGAACAATAAAGGTTGGGGAAAATGGTTTATTTAATATTGCAAAGAAGGTTACCTGGCTAGTTAGTTAGTTAGCTGGTTCTTGGCTGACACTTATTCCCATCACATCAGTACCGAATATGGTATCGTGGAATTTTTACACTTAGACGTAGTTACACAAGGTTAAAGCTGCGGGGTGGGGGCGGTGAGGTGAGGTGGATGTTCACAGTCTGATAAAATTCCTTCACCAAATTTAACGCATGCAATTAAGTACCTATACTCAATGACGATGTGATTAACGATATGGCTTAATGGGACACCATCACTCACCCACCCACCCCCCTACTGACTGACAGTCTTCCTAATGTGAAAAAAATCACACGGAATATTATCCTAGAAATCTCTTAGACATGAGGAGACCGGGACAGATCAGAAGAAAGAATTCATCAAAGATACTTCACGTCAAACTCATCAGTTTTGCAACGTTCATACGAAATCATGAACAACTTCATTTAACTTTTTTCTTTTACTCACATCGGAAATTGAAATTAACAGTCTGATATTCGGAAGGATTTAGTTTGATGACAGAACATTTGATGACTCCTGATAGAAAGCTGTTCATCCACTTAGTACAGGCTAACTGAGAGTTAACAGAGACAATGAAATACTCAGCTCGTCAGAGGATACTTCACAAAGTTCATTTTACCATCATGACAGTGAGGCAAGTCATACATGTGAAGAAAGAAAACTGAATAGGACAAACAACAGCGCAAGTCTGACGAAATTTCACCCTCTCCAAGTAAGTCTATTTTGAACAAAGCTTACAAGAATCATTGAAAGCGAATATTCTGACAACATCGTATAATCAATCATGTATAAATATCCATCTGTCTAGTCAACTAACCTCATCTACCTCATCGACTGAGAATTTCACTTACCGAATATGTGAATACACACGCAGACACTGATTCTATTGACTTCTGATTGTATTTCGCCTCTCACTTCTGTACATGCAAATATATAGGCGAGTGTATGTCAGTGTCTCTTGACTTTCATCACTCCACATCTCATTGGTTATACATAATTCAACGAATGATTTTCCGCTCTCTACAATCGATTGATTGATCAGAAGGCGTAAATAATTTGATGTGTCCATATTTTGGTTGGTATTACAGACATTGGTGGGATTTCGGCATATCTATCTGTCAACATGATTATTATTATGATGATAAAGGTCGGCCATTTGTAAATAAACAATGGTCAACATTTCACATCATGTGACAACACCACCAATCAGATTGTTGAATACATACTGACCAGTGTAACTGACCAATGTGAGAGTTGGCTGATGAAATTAGACGATCAGGTTATTATTGTTGACTAGTATTATTGATATAAGTATAAACATTTTGGCACTGTGGTAGAGTAGAGTATAACTCCATTATGGATAAGATTTTATTTTGATAAACTGTCACACAGTGTTTGTTATACAGTAGTAATATTAAGTGATGACCACCTTTCGAGCACAGACTATTGCCACTCATAATCATGTCATCGACTTGATATTTCGTCATCTCCTCCTCAGAACATGCATCCCAGTATGTCGTTGTGTTACGAATTCCACGGAAAATCACAAATGTCATCTAATAATATTTGTGTTTGTGAAAACACGGCTGTTGAATGGAAGATAGCAGTGAGATTTCTCTGATGGACAGTGTGTGTGTGTTTTGACGTTTCGGTAAGTGGCAATGGCACTAAACATGAGTATTTCTCCAGAAATGCTGAAAAGAAAGTGGTTGAAATTTAGACTTTACTGGAATTTATTCTCCTTACATCATCTAACGCGAATCCATAAACATCTCGGTGTAACTACACGGCGAATCGGGAACTCGCGGTCAGAGATTTAACCAGTCATACACCTGAATACGAATAATATTCCCCTCCAATATTATTATTATTGTTCCCTTGGGTTTCTAGTAAAATATACGGAGGGCTTCAACTGCACGTCTCCACTTGCTTCTGTCTACTCTTTACACGACCTCCTGCATGTCACCTTTGCACTGGCGACGCTTCCATTTCGGGTTCTAATCGAGCAATGGCTTGACGCGTGATGTCACCCAGCGGTTGCCTCCTCAGCGAGTGTCCATACCATCTCTCCACTTTCTCCTGCATATTTGTTGAGTGCTTCTTCCAGCCCCGGCCATCTGGTCTTCAGTATAGAGCGAGGACAGTCAGTTGTTGATAAAGGTAACGTCTGCAACAGGCTGTTGGTGGAAGTATTCTTTGTGACCAACTCGCCAAATTTTTAATCCGTAGAGAAGAACTGACTTGACGTGTTTGTACTGAAAATCCGACCGAATTTTGTTGTTGATGCTGGCTGGCTGAGTGACGAAGATTTCCAGATTGGTTGTTTCAGGTTGATGAGTGAATGTATTTCTTGCCTTCCCCATGATTCTCGCTCGATTTTACATCCACCTTCGTTTCGACTTCCTGTATTTGAGACAATGCTCCCTCCCTAGATAAGTAGTGAATGAAGTGTAACCTCTTTCAAATCATTCGCGTTGATGATGATTGGCACTGGATGTTGGTGCTGTTGTTGTTGTTGTTGGTTGGTTATTTTCATAACCTCCGTCTTGTCTGTGTTTACCTGGAGTGAGTCCTGTCTTCGCCGGCTGCTTTTATCGACCAGTTTGTCAGTTTTCGCTTGTCTCTAAGTCTTCGATTTTGTGACAGTGACATCAAACATAAATCATCGCCGCGCGAAATCCAGTTCTTCTAGGTTCTTCGCGTCAGTCCAGGATATCCCTGTCCCGTTTCTCTTTTCCCACTGTCTGACGCACAATCCAGTCAGTCCACCACAATTAGGAATATCATTCATTGGTGATAATAAGCAAGCACCCTTGTCTGACTGACACCTGTGTTTGCTCCAAACGCCTCGCTGAGTTTTCCATTGTGGATCACTTGACATAATCCGTTGTCGTACAGCTGTTGAATAAGTTTGATGAATATTTGGGCGCTGCACGCCGTAGTACTCGAGTATTTTCCAAATTACTTCGTGGTCAACGCTGTCTGTCGAACGCCTTCTCAGAGTCTATAAAGTTGAGGTAGAGGTTTGATTACCATCCTCTACCTATGTTGAAATGTATCAGAGATGAAAATGATTTAGGCACTGAACTGGGCTAATAGAATGACTGAGGCTACCTGACATGTACATGAGATTTCGGTTAAATCCCATTGGTTGATCTCTCCATACGTGAATTAAACCCTAAAGCTCTTTATTCCATTCGACTTGCTTCCAGATATCATAAGGATAGCCGGAAATTGAGCTAATTCAATGTTTAAATCATTTTACACCTTCGTTGTTTGCTTTCTGATGCATAATTCAAGGATTACGATGTCAAAGCATGACTGTCTCCAGGATGGTTAATGTAACTTGCATTAATTCAGTCAGTCATCAAATATTCAGGTGCACATACATCGAATAGTTCTTCGTTATCATGAATTAATTCAACGACTCTCAATTAATCATGAGTTTTATTCTTGCATTTTGATGCTCCTCTTTCACTATCCATTACACCCATTCCAGTTTTGGTGTCGTCTTCTATCTGAGGTGTCGTACACTGCTGACTTCATTCAGTTGTCCACTCATGCTCTCCTGCTTCTTCTTCTCCTTCTTCACTCGATGTGAGTTGTTTGCACCAGCTGAGTAGCATTGTGGAGTCGAAACTTTCCAACATTCTGTGTGCTATTTTTTTTGATAATATCCCGAGAAATATGGTGATACTCACTGCGTAGATTTGATCATGGATTTGTTTTCAGTGACTTGAGTGTAGCTTGTTTACTGCACTGGATAACACTGTACAGATACCGCGTCACTACCATCTTCTCTCACAGCACTTCTTGTGATTTCTCCTGCAATCTGATTATCCTTCCTGGATAGACTTGATGATGCCATCCACCCAATGGTGTTATATCCATCCTGGAAATGAGGAGTCTTCCCAAATTCCACTGGGGGACAAATTACTTTGTTTTTGGCTCTTCACTGAAGTTACAGTAGAGATTGTCTCGTTTGTAGGAATCTGTTGAAGTAAATTTCAGTAGTGCATTTGTTAATTAGGTAGTCATGGATGCAAATTTTGTGTTTCTTTAGTCATTAGTGGAAATGGCTGAATCTAACTTATTATATGCTGACTGATACATCGAATGACAACACACTGACACTTATATATTACAGAAACACTTCTTCAGACTGCAGATGCAGCAATCATCAATGTACGAGACTTCGGAGGACTGAGGACGTCACGAAAACTCGAGTGTCTGTGTGTGTGTAATGAGTGGAAAATGGGAAGAAAGGCAAATGCAAGAATGGAACTCACCGGAAATTGCGAGTCAACGAAATGAATGGTAACGCAGAACCATCAGGAGTATGTGAGTGTCTGTGTGTGAATCTGAGGATTTGATAATTTTGGAGTCACCACAAATCTATTCCCATATTGACATGAATTTCTGCAGAGATTAAAAGGCTGAAATCATCATTTTTGATTTGTTAAAGTAGCCTTCTTATAAAGGTGTTATTTCCATCCTTCCATTTTCTCTTCAGCTTACGGATATGTGAAGTCGCTTTTAGAGACTGACTGCAACCATACGGAGAAGAAATCATACGCGAATCGATCGGCGAATCTTAATAGAACATAGTGTAGAACACCAGCCTCCTGCCTATCTCACTTCAATCGAATTTGACAAGGTCTTTGACTTGGCGAAATCCCTTCTGAGAGAATTTGACAAATGATTCAACGACACATCGTGCAGTACGTCAAATCAATCAATCAATGAATCAACCAGTCAGATTCAACAGTTGTTTGACGATGTCATTTGTAAAGTAATACACACACGGGACGAAGCAATCAAAGAGAAGAGAGGCGTAAGATGTGGGTTCCTACACTGTCACTGATGATCTCCGTTATCGTGGGTGGATTGCATCATTCAGCAAATTGTGCAGAGTGAGAAGACAAGCACTGGAGAAGTGACTACTGTATGATATGATATGGATCTCGTGGATGAGCTGTGTTCATACCGCCTGGACTCGAAGATATGCAGTCGAAAAGCAACTAGTTGGCAGACGATGTGCCAGAGAAGGGCCTTAGTGGGGATACAGAGACAACAGAAGTACTTTTGACACTTACTCAGCAAGAAGAGGGAGCAATTATTCCAAAATGCATTCCGCTCTCTCTCAGTTACTTATGTGGCTTGCATCTTCTCTAACAGGTAGGTTGAATACATCCGGGATCAGATGGGTTGAGCCATATAGGTGGTCATTTTTCCAGATTCTGTTTGTAATTCCACAGAAATCATCTCAAGAAACGAAATGTAAACTTTTAACACGTATGTTCTGCAAATGCTGGCGTGATGCGTGTCTCGGAAAGTATTTCCAACGATTTTCCACCGACTTTCATCAGCACCTGGCTTCGGTCGATACTGGGGAACAAATGGCTAGCCGGAGAGGAGAATAAACGGTGAACCCCAACAAGAAGTGAATCATTGCTCACCCACCGGCGAATGATTGTGTAGGAGCAAAATTTAGGTGGATGGGACCTGGACGCTGAAGAGACATTCAGGTGTAATACAAAGGCCGGAGAGCGACCTGTTGGGAGTTCAAGGTGAAGGCCATGTAAATGAGAAATGAGAGCCTCTGGGGAGTTGAGGAGCTAGCTAAAAGTGATGACTGAGAGAAAAATGCAGTGAAGAGGTTCCGCTCAAGCTCTATTTTCCATATGTGACGCAAGCTGTCAACAAGAATACTAATACTGTAGAAGTATAGGTTTGACGTTCGATAATTCGTTAGGAAAATATGTTGTTCAACCGTTTTCAGCTGAGATGCCTTCACCAAGAAACTGATAGTTCGCAGTTTGAACACTTTTTTTGATTACAGCTTGATTCCATACTGTATTTATGGTATTAGTATGGAATTTTCAGCATGTGATATCGGTAGCTCATATATTGCAGGCCGACCATAGATATCAGGTGTGCGTCGGTGGCAGGGGATCGAACCTCGGACCATGTGAGGCATGGTCGGCGAGCGTCCTAACCGCTGTGACACCGACTCACAGAACAAGACATATAAGCAAACAATATTCTTTTCAATTAGATCTTCATCAG